CCACTGAGCGCACCTTGTGCATAAGCGATTGGGAATCATGTGGCTGAGCTGGCATTCTGGTGCCTCCTCTATTAGTGATCAGGAGTTGAATAAACTTCAGCCCTTTTGTCTGCTGGGACCCTTAACCACCAACTTATGAGCAGGGAAAGTGGGAGTGGGGGGTTACTGTTTAGGAAAGAAAGAAATCATAAATAGTGTTTTTCTGAAGCACACAGCGAGATTAACGGGATTAGTTGTTGTGCACTCGGTCTTACCAAGGCCTCTGTCAACTGAACTTTTCTAAGTGAAGGGTTTATAAATGTGAGTCAACCTAGATATGTTCCCCCTGCAGAGTGTATTGTATGAGAGTCCCCAGTGACCCCAGGTGCATGTGAGAGAGAGAGAATACCAGACGGGTCCAGTTGTGGGTTGGTTGTGTTCTAAGAATAGGAAGGCCCTCAGCATAATGGTCATGCGCCAAGTACATCCATATCAGGAGAGTTACTCTGTGGTACTTTTACTAAACAGAAGTCACAATTCCACAAAAGGTTCATATTAGGATAAGTTGTAAATGTAAAAATTGAAATGAGTTGCACTGACCCAAGTATGAGTAATTTCATATCCTTCCAAATAATAAAGTAGCAGCTTCCATTCATTCCATCACATTAGGTAGCCAATTTTAGTGCCCACTTATGTAGCACCTCAGTGTGGCGGTGTAGGAGTAGTAGGCGCCAACCAATCAGATGTTAAGCCTCTCTCCCACTGGTCTTGATGGATGAGTTAGACATATCCACAAAACAAGCCAGAGTGAACATGTCATTACTGAAATTGTCAGAAGTTGAAATCATAAATCAAATGCAATAATTCAAACCTAGTTTGCATTTTAAGCTTGGGTAGCACCATATCCACTAATTTATGTGAAAATGCCGTTTCACAGTCGTTTGTTACAACAGGGGACTTGAACCTCTATGCCACCAGGCCCTACATGGGAAAAGGGTTTTAATAGATTCTGGTCCATATATTTTTTTCCTTTAGGAAATGAAAATGTTTCCCATTTACAAAAATTTCTTATTTCTTTAAAAATGGCCAAAATTTCAGTAGTTTTCTTAGACCAGATGAACTGGACTGTCAGAAGCAGAGTGCCCTTAACAGGCACACTGTGGCCTTTTCCTTCCTTAATGAAGGAAATGCAGGACTGCGTGTCATTGGTGGGGTTGTTCAGCTCTTTATGGACGGAAAAACACAGGCCTCCATAGAATCAGAACAATGGTACAACTGTAGGCACAGATGCAGTGGTGTGCAGTATTGAGGCTAAAAATAAATGAACATGATGTGCAAATTGTTAGAGTGGTTCCATTTAAATGTTGGCAGTCAGAGACTCCACTGGTTCCTCCACCTGATTAACAGCTACAAGTGAATCTAGGGAAATGTTACTCATGGGAAATAGAGATGGGGCGGTGGGTGGACCTCAAAAGCTACCTGTTAACTTGTTAAGCTGTTCTGAATGGAGTCGTAAGCCTAGTAAAGGACAAATGTTTTTAGTCACTTCTACATAAAATTTTATGTATAAATATGCACTGTTCCCTTCTGTCTGTGTAGCCCTGTTGTCCCCACATTGTCTGTACGATGCTAACCATCACATGTTTCAGCATTGATTTCAGCCAGAAGGAATCCTGTAGGTTTGCTGTAGTCTGAAGGCATTCTGGTGTTGAGTGGTGGACAGACAAGCCTAGGGGGTTGCTGCCAGTTCAGTGATTCCACTGACCAGATCATGAACCAGGAGGAGGTGGTGTTGAGGTTAAAGCCTCCTGATAAATTTGCAGAGTTGGGATCAGAATCCATTAAGAGTAAAAGCAGAAATTAGATTAGTATTCTAGTGCTGAGGCAGCCTTCAATGGAAGTTGTGACGGCAGGACACAGATTTACCTGCACTGTCACATTCAAAGCCTGCTGGCACCTCCTTCCTGTCAGGGTTAATACAGAGGGAAATTGGGGGAGGTGGTGGGGGTTTCACAGGAACGGAAATGCATGTAACACCCCTAGGGCAATTGACTATAAAACACTGCAGTGTTGTAGGGGAGAGAAAGCTCTGCCCGGCGCCACCAAAACCTCCTGCCAAAAATTCATACATGTGTGTATGTGAGTGTACCCATGCCAGCGGAAGCAGTTTGTTCAGATTTCTGTGGTGGGAGGGGAACCTTGCCTTGGTGATGGATGACATGCTCGATAACGCCTCCGGCCCATATGTACTTTTACACACAGGCATACTGCTGTGCCACTGATGCAAGAGAGCGCATTGGTGTGTGAATGATCAGAAGTGAAACTGAGAAATGGAGATGAAACTAAGCTAGAGGCAGACAGAGATGACAGGAGGGACAAAAAAAACAAAATGGGGAGTCTAGACAGTTTTGCTCACACACACAGTTTGGCCTAAACCGCTTCCTATTCTCTAGCTCTTGACTTAAAGGGACACACTGTTGTGAGTTCATGTTAAACACAAGTAATGGTTGGCAAGTTTCATAAAGGGCAGGGAGCACAGGCACCCATTACTCAAATCACATGTCTGCTACATGAATGAGATGTGCTTGATGAACTTCCCTTGATTAGCCTACTATTCCACTGCAATTTAAACTACTGTTGAATGTAAAAATATTAATCTTTAGAAAAATGTATTTCAACATGAGTTTATGGCTCAGGTATTGCACATTTCTTTGCATTCTTTAGCATTTCACAATAATTTGATTGTCAAGCAGCCCCCGTTTGTCAGATTTAAACACATTTAAGTTGAGGTATTGTGATTGATTTAAAAACTTTTTTTTTTTTTGTAAGTCATTCATTCTCCACTTAAGCTACTTTGAAATCCTACTGTGCAACGTGCCTTGATAGAGGTCCCTGCACATGCATCCTTCTCCATTTTCCCTTCCTGCCTCAGGTTTGTTTGTTAAATGTGCATAAAACAAACATCATTTGGACTGTGTGACTACAGCATCAAATATTATGTTCTAGGCTGCTCATTAAATGCAGAATGAATGGTCCAACATTAAACTGCTACATCTGAAACATTATGCAACATACTTGGCATTGGTTTATTTCATAGAATACATGATAAATTTAACAGTCCAACTGATCATATGCATTGAAGTACAGAGCTCAGATTTACTTCACATTCAGTATCTGTGTCTAGTTACGTACAAGCTAACTAAACTAACGTTGGCTTGTATACCTCTCTGAACCTCTGTCTCGGCCTCTAAAGAACCTTCTTACATCCATCTACAGAGGTCAGTAATGTTAAAGTCAAAAAAGCTCATCGGTAATATTCAAAAACGTAGTGCCTCGCTCATACCTCAGTCCAGGCCTTTTCTTTTGTTTCATGTGCCAGTACATGGATTGCTGCAGTACATGACCTGCAGACCTGCTCACCATGGTGTATGAACACCCGACCATTGTTTCAGCTTGTATTTTGCCCTGACATTCTGGATTAGAACAACATTATTCCCCATTATTATCAACCAGAATTAATCCACTGCCAAATAAAGGTGTTTGTTAAAACTCAAATGCAGGACTTTTACTGGGGCACAGCAGAACAATACCGGGGAATGTGCCCTGGTAAAATGGGTCTATGGCAGCGGTATACATATACAAATCCAACCACCTTTAAGGCCCATTTTGATATTGCTTGTTGATTATAGCGCATCTTTAAGAAAACCGAAAGACACCCAGACACTTGTACAAACAGGAGACCACCTGTAGAAATGTGACAAGGCCTTAAAGCATGTAGCATAACTGCTACCTCCCCCTCCAGACTTGCTGTGTGGGTCACCTGACTTGCACTTCCTGCTGGGCTTTCCTCTGACTTGGAAGCCTGCACTTCCACCAGTTTGGCTTACTTGGAATTTGGCCAGCCCCCCCCTTTTTTTTTTTTTTACGGTGGCAACTGCAAACATGCAAACCTGAGTGTCAGCATGAAGGACAATGGCTATGAACTGGTGTGGTGAGCAAGGGCACACAAACACTATGCATGTAGGAAACGGTAAGAAGTGTTCCATTCCATAGACTTCTCTGTTTTGTCAACAGAGGTTTTCTTTTTCTGGCAAGAGGATTGTGGACTGAGTGAAACAACGTACACTCACTGTTATTCAAAAGCTTGGATGAATTTTCCCTATTGAATTGAATGGGAAGGCGTTAACATGTTTGGTAGTGTACAGACCTTAGGCTTTAACATAAGTATGAAAGAGACATGGACACAGCCACTGGCGATATGCAGCATGTTAATCTGTATAGTGACAACAGTAATGGTTGCATACTGTACACAATGGTACCAGTAAAGTGAGATTGAGTGCAAGTCTTTATTAGAAACTGAAATTTCACAAATGGGGCAATCATACAATAATTCCATGCAAGGGGTCTGAGGTTTGCTTTGGTCACTGCTCCGTCAGTGCAGGTCAGTGGGGCCATCCCTTTGTTACTTGTGACTTTTTTTTAAAAAATAAATACCTTATGGTAGCACAAGTAATCTTTTTATGTTGTACTTCAACACAGTAGTCTCAAAGCCTGCTCTCTGTGTGCTGCCAGTGGCACATAAATTCACATGCGCAAAACCTTATTAGTTTACATTGACTGAGTCCAAACATCTGAATGTTTGTTTGCTTCCTGCCTGCAGGTGTTTTGACAGTCCAGTGCTGAAATTATGTTTGAATAATTTACACAGTATTATAGCCAGTATATTCTGCACAGGAGCCTGTGCTCATTGTTCAACATGATGCAACACAGAGCTACATTTAAAAGCTGAGATGGTGAAACTCGGATTTCAAACTTCATGTTTTAGGTAGATGAACAAACCCTGCTGGTTTTCCCTTAAGGGTTTATTTAATAAAAGTGTATTCATTTCCTTGCTCTGTGTGTTTGTCTGTGTGCACAGTATTCCTGACCTGGGTGAACTGCTCCAGTGTGCGCTGGGCGACCAGGATCCAGGATGTTTTTACTGTAGGGAACATGCACTCATCATAGTGGTTGGCCTCGTCCAGATCTGTAGAGGTAAACACACCTGTGCACCTTCTGAGATTAAATCCTCTAAATAACCACAGAGGTTTGGTTTAATAACTATACATAGCATGATGAAGTAAAATACTAGTAATAATAGCCAAATGGTTTTATAGTTGAGAATTGAAAAACAAAAAAATAAGAATGTGATGTCATTAGGAAGCAGCATTTCTGAAAATATCCAGCAGTTAACAGCAGTTGTGTCCTGACATTGGTGATCCCTGGTGTACATGAGTAGACGACAGGAGAAAGCTGGTATAAATGATTGTAACAAATGAGAATTTTTAACAGTAATCTTTATAATTATAGCTACGGGCAGTAACATGGTGACCAGGCCCAGTTACTGCAATCTAATCACAAAAAGAGCAAAATGTTTTAACATTTTGCTCTATGTTCAGATTTTCTTGTACTACTAAGACAGTACCATAATGCTGATCATTACTGTAGCCTGTTTTTCAACATGCAGTACTTGGAGATGAGACCGACATTGTGTGGGAAACATAGTGAAGCCATGAAACTGTGGGTTTCATTATTTTCATCTCCTTAGATGGCCATGGTCTCTGTAGTTTGATCCATCCTTTCCTTCCTTTCTCCCACCTGACTCTAGGTCACTATGATGCTTTGCTACCCAGTGCAGCCTTTGAGTTCAGGCAGGACCCATCAGTAGGACAGATAGCACTAGCTTTCCTCCAGGCCTCCTTTGCCTACAGCGGCTGGAATTTCCTCAACTATGTCACAGAGGAGGTCGTGGAGCCTCGCAAGTATGGCACATGCACAGACAGTATTTTACATCTCTACAACTTTTCATAAAAGCTTGATCTACAGTAGACACACTGTTAGTCATACTAGTGTCCACTAACTCTGTTAGTGGTTTTGATTAAGATTTTGTTTTTGTAAAGCTGAAACAAACATTTGAATTATGGCATTTACTAATATCATTGCTATTTTCATTCTCATTAGGAACTTGCCCCGTGCCATCTATATTTCCATCCCACTGGTGACTCTGGTCTACACTTTGACTAACATTGCCTATTTCTCCTCCATGACCCCTGCGGAGCTGCTGGCCTCCAACGCTGTGGCGGTGGTGAGCATCTACATGAATGGATGTTTCATATACAGTGAAAACCTAGTGCTTTACATACGGATAAATATGAGTCACAGTTGTATGGAAACCTGTGGCTGATCAGTTAACCTGTTGAAGCAGAGAATGAGCAGCATGAGGCAATTAACCAACAAGTATCTCCAAGTCTGCTTTACTTGGGCATACTCTGTCCTGTTTAATAGAAAAATAAAAAAACGGAACATTTTTCTGTCATACACACACAAGCCTTCTTTCAGTGAAATTATGAATCAGTGACAGAATGAATAATGCAAACATTCAGTAATCTGATCCATTATTTTGTTGTTCAGACATTTGGGGAAAAGTTGCTCGGCATGTTTTCCTGGGTGATGCCCATCTCCGTGGCATTGTCCACCTTCGGAGGAATCAATGGGTATCTGTTCACCTCCTCCAGGTACACACAAACTCTTTGCCTTGCCATACATGAGAAACCTTTTGTTGTTTTATAACCCTCTAGTATGTCCGCAAATAAGAACAAGTTTGTCAACAGTTACTCTTAGCATGTATGAATAAACCTGAAAATGTACAAAGAACGTGCACTGAGCTCCAAGCTCACAACTTGTGTCTGTCTGTTTGCAGGTTGTGTTTCTCCGGGGCCAGGGAGGGTCACCTACCCTATCTACTGGCTATGATCCACCTGAAGAACTGCACTCCAATCCCTGCCCTGCTGGTCTGTGTAAGTATGCACTGCCAGTTTTGTCTACCTTGTTCAGCTTCACAGTGGCACAGGGCAGGATGGGGTGGCCAGGGACAAAAACAGTGTTTCACTGGAGAGCCCCCATCACTATGGTACAACTTGGCTGTTTAAGTTGGCCCAAACAAATCAGTAAAAAACTAAATCCAGTACTTATGTATGTACATAAATATACATACACATTACTGGGCCAAAAGGCATAGGTGGAAGCCACTGTTAATTTACCTACCTTTACTATAGTCGGTACTCAAACATCACAATTTACAAATACTAAAAATGTATCCAGTAATCATGAGGAAAAACTAGAATCACATGCCCTCTCAAACGTACTGTATTTACATACTGTATTAGTGAGTGGTTATCTTGTATATTCATCAATCTTTGTGTCCTTTAGTAAATTTACTAAATGTCACACCTTCAAATCGCTACATTTATTCCACAATTTTACCCCTGTAACTGAAAGAAATCGGTTTTTAACATTTTTAAACATGCATACATTTCCTCTGATTAAATCAATCAGTCTTATACATGATATGCAATGTTCTAAATTTCACCAAATCTTGGAATTTTAATAAATTGTTGGTTGGTGCACAGTAATCTACCTTGTCTATTCTTATAGCTTTCTTTTGTAAGACAAAAATAGAGTTGGTGTAAAGTTTACATACTGTATATGCATTTCCACAGAGCATGCACTGGATCATAATACCAGTAAGCAATATAATGTATACAGCTTATTTGACAAAGTAGATCTTTAACCATATACAATTGCATTAGACCTGAATATTTTTTTTTATTTTTATAGTTAGCGATTTCCCTCATTTATGAATATTTCCCAAGAATTTAATTTCAAACGGTCTGTTTCGTTTACAGTAAAACTTCTTTGTAAATTTATTTTGACTTTCAAAAATGAACTTGGTTTTTAATCTAGATTATTTATTCCTGTCAAACCATTTCTTAAACCATCAGTTCCTTGTGCATAATTTCCAAAAGATGTTACTTGTGCCAGAGCTGCAAACAAAATAGTTTAAATAGTTTCCATCACACTAAAGTTGGTTTCATATTTTTGACACGAGAACTTGCCTTCATGTCCCACAGTGCATTGCCACAATAGTCATCCTCTGCATTGGAGAAATGCACAACCTGATCAACTATGTGTCCTTTATCAACTATCTGTCCTATGGGGTGACCATTGCTGGGCTCCTCTACCTCCGCAAGAAGAGACCCAACCTGGCCAGACCCATCAAGGTACAGAAACCCAAGAACCACACACCTACTGCAGGAACAAAATGTAACCTTGTGGCGTTTCGTTACCTGGTCTTGTTGAAGATGTAATGATGTTTAACCATCAAGCTGTAGCTGGATTAACTGAACCAGTACCCCCTTATCAAAGCTCACAGGCTTCTACTCAAATATCAACATTTCACCTTATCAGCTGTAGTTTAAAAAGTTTAGCTTGCAATTTATGGACATGAATATTTTGGTGCCCCATAATGTCACAGAGGTCAGTTACATTATGTGGTGAGTTGATGAGCAATATACAGTTTTCATAAGACAAACAGTTGATAATCATTTATGCCATGCATAGATTTTTTAAAAATATATTTTCCAGCCTTGTGCTTGGATACATTCCTGTATACAGAAACACTGTGTGGGTTTCCAAATGTATAATGCATAAATTTGTAATAATCCATTTGGAACGTCTAATCTTAAAGAGAACGTGGCCACTGCTCTACAGTGGTGAAAAGAAACCTCCTCTGGATTGTGTGGAAATGAGCCTCTCTTCGTTCTGTACAGGTAAACTGGCTGGTCCCTGTCAGCTACCTGATTTTCTGGGCTGTGCTGCTGGGCTTCAGTCTGTACTCTGAACCAGTGGTTTGTGGCCTGGGAATGGTTATCATGCTGACTGGAGTCCCTGTGTACTTTGTGGGTGTTCAGTGGAAGGACAAACCCAAATGGATCCACATGCTACTTGGTAAGTTGGTCTCTGCTGCAGAATATAAATATGATTTGAATAGGGTCTGTACAGTGGCTGTTAATCCCTGTAATTCAAACTAACCCCTCTGTCTGTCGTGTTGCAGAAAGAGTCACATACACGGGCCAGAAGGTGTGTTATGTGGTGTTTCCTCAGGAAGACCCTTCAGAGACTGAACCCCTCACAGCCTCCAAAGCCACTGACTGAGCAGTGCAGTCAACCAGGAATCCCATTATCATTCTCAACACCTGCACTAGCAGCTGTTGTGTTACAATTTTTCATTGTTTGGTCTAGTTTGTGAATGGTGAAGAGCTGGCTTTGCACTCGTTTTTGCACAGGTGTAGCCTCAGTGAGGCTTTAAAAGAAACACTTGGTTATACTTGGGGCATTAGCATGTTGAACCCTAAAGCTGGGGCATGTTTTTTATGTAGCTCTGTCCAATCTCACCTCACAGATGTGCCACGTTTTCCCTTTTGTGTATTTTCACCTCATCTTCTTTCTGCTCACTCAAGGAATTCCCACCTGTCTTTTAATTCACTCCCAACATCTCCTGTCAATTTATTTTAAATCCATTTGCTAATGTGCTTTTGGAGATATCTGTTTGCATAGTGTTTTGGTTTGTGCAGGTATTTTGAGCACGTAGTAAATTCTTATGTAAATGTACAGTACAGGCTTGTTTCAACACTTGGCAGCAGTAATAGAGTACTGCTATCATCAGCTCTGTTTCACTAATTAATTGTCAACTGAGTATTGTTCAGTATTTCTGCCTGGCTACAGTAGATGGCCATTCCTTTTACTTTACATTCCCTGCTTTCTCTTTACTTTTATCACTTCTCTCTCCTGAGAGATACTGCAGTGCCTTCATGCTGTTATTAGAAAAGGGCTCTACACATAACACACACAACACATCTTCTGAGCAATATTTAGAGCACAAGCTGGGGCTTCAGCTTGAAGAATGGCCTACTCACTACGCTAGCTGCAGCTACACCTGCTCATTACAACACGCAACAGGCTCTTCTTCCAGTTGAACACCTCGAGCCACTGAGCTTGTTGCTAGAATTATATCTGGGAATTTAAGGTGCTTTACCTGCCACGACAGTTGGTAGATTTAAGATTTCTCAGCTGATGTGGTGATATAGTGCTTACCATTAATGCACATTAGGTAACATTAGCAGAGTCCAGGCTGACTTAAAGCTGGATGGTTGGCAGTGGACACTTTTGCACAGGCTCGCTCCCACTTCCCCAAAGACGCGTCGGTACTGCAAGGACCACTGACTTTGTGTAGAGCAACTGACTTAATATCATAATATTGCTGAATTAATTATGGTCCCTTGACCTACAGTACTAGACTTGCCTGTGGTCCTGTTGATTCAGTGTAGCTATATACTTGTGGCACAAATGAAATCCCAAGTTACCTTGAAATTATTGTCAGGTTTCTTACAGTAGCACACAAATTTAATGTGGGCCCAGAGACATGTTGACGTGCATTTTTTGGGTAAAATCTTGCAGCACTTCTCTTTAAGCCGTTTATGTCGTACATACAACAGAACATGAAGGGTTGGGCCAATGGCCTTTTAACATGTTGGAATTAATATTGAACATTCAGTTCTTTTCCATGCCAACAGATGCTGGGTAGATTATCCTGCATCAAATCCATTGGCACACTTAAGAGAACCTACCTGTCCATGTCCAGGCACTGTTGGCCCCGTGAGATCTGTAAATACTATGTAAAGAGGAAAAAAAAAAAACTGCAAACGTGCCAGGGAGTCTTACAAAGATTGTTCCTCAGACATATTGTTGTACAATTGATGGGTGTACCTTTGTGCTTTGTAAGTATGAAGTTGTACAAGAATAACAATGTAATTGCTTATTAAATATACCAACTTCTGAAAAGCATACCCCCCCTTGGAGGGCGTTTGATGCAAATGATCATACTAGTACTGTAACACATTCCGTTAAAATGGCAGTTACTGTCATTTCAGGCAGTATTCAGATCTTTTTGCACATTTAGATTTGTGTATACAATTCACTTGTGCCCATCAGTCTAGACACAATCCATAACGGTGAAAACATTTTTAGAAATATTAAACATCTTGTAAATTTTTACTGGCTGTAGACTGGTCAAATGTTAGTTTTATTATTTAAAGTGAAAGTGTCTGAATACTTAATGAAATCACTGCATAGTAAATGTTATACCTGTGTATTAGCATTTAGCTAAAAAGCATTGCTGTACCTACACACCACAGTCTGCAGAGCTGCTAATAGGGGTAGACGAGATCTTACAAAGGTAACTGGTCACTGCAAGTACTGTTAAATTACTGATGAAATAATGCAATTAAAAATGTTATATAGCTCAAATGCTTCAAATTACCAGCTTGGAGTTTAATTGCAAGCACAAGAAAACTAATAAAATGTCATTACCTATAATTACAGGGTTTTCATCAGCAAACTGCAAAAATTATATGGTGCAATTTGAGCACAAAATATACAAATCTAGAATGCTCAAACTAAGGGAAATGCTTTTACACAGTCATTGTACTTGGCAGCCTTTGACAGGAAAGGAAGCAAACAGCATGAGAGAGGATGTCACTATGACAGCCTGGTGCAGTACGACTTCACTGTCCAATGGTCTTGATCTGGTGTATTTAACCGTGCAAACCTGTCCACTACTGATGGATAAAACAACCCCTAACCACTTTAGCATTCATTACATAGCGTACAGCAAATTAAAACTGGAAAATGCAATTCAATCATGTTATACAATATGCTATCTGCAGTTCATCAAAATAAGAATCTAAATGTTATACACTGAATGCTATAATAATCCCAGTGGCAAGATTCTTGATGCCGTATTGGTCTGTATCTCCAACGTAATTGGCTGTGCCAGTCCCATAACACTGTGCTCAGACAGTTAAATCTCTACAAACATTTAAACCACAACTGTAATTCACAAACTTGATTGTGGTATTGCAACGTCAAGGAAAACCCATTAAGGCATTTCTAACAAGTTTGTATGTAACGCATGTAAGGATGCACTTTCTGCAGATATTTCTCTACCAAAGAAAGAACAGCATCAAATTAGGACCAACATGTTTTAAAATCAAATGACAAGATACAAGGAGAAAAGGGCAAAATGTCTAAAACCAGTGATAAGTAGTAGTTTGTATTTCTCCACAACTCAAACGATTCAGAAATGGCCAGTGGGCAGGGATTACTTTGGGGAGCATATAGACTTCCCTAATGGCACATAACATGTAGCAGTGGTTTACAACAGGACTCCTATAAGAAAGAAGCACAAGAGGGTAGGATGACACGTTCAGCTCACTTAAAAAAGCAGGAACGACGACACAGCACAGAAAACTGACACTGCAGTTTCAACTCATTTCTCACGCTCACACTACTTACAGTGGTTGTCATTTTTTCACTCATCAATATTCTGCAGTAAAGGGAGAAATGTCATTTTCTAGAAAAACCACAAAGCCAAACAGGTACATTCTTTAGAAGTCCAACAGCGATTAGCAAAAGGTTTCCAGTGTCATGCCTCAAACTGACAAGCTTTACAAAAACTCACACATTCAAGGTGACCAGCTTTAATGAAGTTTAAGGTTTGCCAAGGCAGAGAGGACTCTGAAGTAGAACTAGACCAGCTCTCCACTGAAGACTGAAAAATAGATGTCTTTGCTTTAATGTTTTGTCGTAGAAAATTCCTCAGCATAGATACAGTATGAATTTCCACTGAAATAAACCAGCAGTCCAGATATCTGCAGTGGCCAGCGTGCAGTAAGCAGTACTGTAAAGGTATCACTGGGATGTGGAGCTCTCGAAAAACAATCAATATTCTGAAGTGAAACTTCTCCCGCACATTTCCTGTACATTCACATAAAATCTTCGCTGTGCTGTATGTAGGTGGATTCACTGAGATGAAAGGCTTTCATGATAGTTTGGCTTCGATTTGAGGAGGAGGAGTTGTAGGCTTCACTATACTTTGACTCACAAGTGTAGCTTTTTAAAACAGATGACATATCACGTTAAAAATGCTGATATGGAGAAAAAAACACACACACAGAGAAATAAATTGATACCACTTCCACAACTTAATGAAAAGTTCTTCATATTTGTTAAAAGGAGTTGGTATAAGAAGAACAGCACTGGACATATATGTTCAATAAACACTAATAAAGGTTTTGGTATGACTGGACTGCTGCATGAGTCAGTAAGTATTAAAAGAATAGGTCAGCAAATACACTTTTGTTGGTGTTGTTGGCTAAGAGTTAGATAAGAAGAGCAGTACCGCTCATATTTTTAAAAATAAGGCTACACCCAGTTATCTTAGCTTAGCATAAAAACTTGAAATTAGGGGAAACAGCTAGCCTGGCTCTGTCTGAAACAGACGGTTACTCGTTACCATCAGGCTAGCCATTTCACAATGGGTTTTTTTTATATATATATATCTTTGTGCTGAGCTAAGAGCTGGGTTTTAGCTGTAGAATTGTATAGACAAATAGAGTGGTATCTAACTCTGAACTTTTGCTTTTAATGTTCTAAATGTATGTCTAAAAATAATCTCAAATATTCTGTCAACAGACGACAATAGAACATGTACTGTCTGCGCAGCCTGATGTAGCTTACTCCTCTCTGCCATAGACCTCCAGTGCTGTCCAGATACTATTAACCTACTAAACCACAATGTTTCACTAAGCGACACATTCCTTCATTACCACAAACATGGACACTGTGCAACTCTATTCTGACTCAATTCCACATACAGTCCTGCAACTACTATTATTCCATTACTGAAAATAGTCCCCAACAAATGCACTTTTTATCCTTGATTGAGTTGTTTGAAATCTACACTACTAAGCATTTTTATAAATCTGCTTAGCCTTCCTTAGAAATGAAAGTATATACATGGATACATCATATCATTTGTTGACAGTAACAAATAAAATATTGTCCGTTTTATCCATAGTAGCCATAACCTTCTACAAATGTCATACAACACAACCATAACTTCAACCTCACCTCATACAATAAAGTGGGACTAAGACAGAGTAGAGGATCATTAATCTGATAAATTCATATGTGATCACTCAGTAGGCTTTTACGGTTCACAGTATAGCGGTGCATAATGGCTCTGGGTAATCACATAAAGGCTGCTCTGGCATTGTAAGAACATGTTGCCAATATTGTGTTGGTGTGGGTGGCCGAAACTGAGTCTGATTTTCCTGAACAGGCTCATGATGAGTTAATTTACAAAGAAGTTAAACGGTCTGTTTGAAAGTTTGTTTGAATTCAACTGTACGAGTTGACACTAAGCTCCTGCACTACCAACGCTGGTTTAATTAACACATGGGTCTGATACTGTACCTCATCCACATGGTGGCCTGACATGTCAAGGACACTGTAGCAGAGCAGCTACTGCCAAGTCTCAACAGAGTGAGATGGTGGGGAATATCTTCCTAAGCCTTTCAGCACGGCGTTGTCTCTCTCCCCGAATCCCCTCCCTCATCACTGAGGGTCTTGCTGAACCTGCAGGGCCTGCTCTTGCCCTCCCTCATCCTCTCATTCCTGACTCTTCTTTCCCTGATTGGCAATTCCACAGTAAAGTTGCTGTCCTCCGCTTTCACAGAAGAAGACAAGGGGTCAGCAGGTGAAGTGTGAAGTTGTGTGGTTGGTGACTGAGAGCTGCTGGGAAACACGGGGGCTGAGACAGGAGACAGGGGACCTAGAGGAGAGTAACGTCTCAAGGAAACACCTTTCAGGTTAACTGCAAGCTCCAGAACCAGTTTCCTAGATGCCCGGGGGTGGCATAGGGGCGCAGTGGCTTCCTGGGGGGTGGGAGGAAGTGCACTGTGAGCTGAAGAGTCACTCTGTCTAGGGGTAGGAGGCTCAGAGCGTGCAGCCCCAGTGCCTTCCCTGCTGACAGGTGGCAGTTCCTCTTCATCTGGACTGTCCACTGACTGAGAGGAGAGAGGTGATGCAGGGCTTTCTGGTGTACAAGGCTGCAGGTCCATGGTGGCTGAGCAGGAGGAGTCTGGCACACACACTACACCGAACTCATCCCCAAGCCCAAGCCTATCCCTGGCCCTAGCCTGAGGCCCTCGCTCCCTCACAGTTCGGTAGCTATGGAGCCCCAGTGTGACCTGTGTAGATCCAGGGGGATCCAGCAGTGGGGCGTGGCCTCTGGATCGCCCTCCACTGTGGAACAGGCAACTCCACAGATGCCCAAGACGTCGCCGAGAGGAAGAGGAGGTTGAGCGCCGTGTAGAGTGACGTCTGATCTGTCTGTGCATTGCCAACCGTAGGTTCTGTAAGACAGAGGTCTGCAGTAGGGCAGACACAGGCGAACTATAATTCCGTTTCTAGGTAACTGTCAAGTACAATTTGTCACTTATGGCCTTATTTCTGTGCAGGTGCAAAGCTAGCAGCAATTCACCTATTTTTGTTCTCGTACACTCCAAACAAACATGTACAGTGGGTACGGAAAGTATTCAGACCCCCTTAAATTTTTCACTCTTTGTTATATTGCAGCCATATGCTAAAATCATTTAAGTTCATTTTTTTCCTCATTAATGTACACACAGCACCCCATATTGACAGAAAAACACAGAATTTTTGACATTTTTGCAGATTTATTAAAAAAGAAAAACTGAAATATCACATGGTCATAAGTATTCAGACCCTTTGCTGTGACACTCATATATTTAACTTAGGTGCTGTCCATTTCTTCTGCTCATCCCTGAGATGGTTCTACACCTTCATTTGAGTCCAGCTGTGTTTGATTATACTGATTGGATGTGATTAGGAAAGCCACACACCTGTCTATATAAGACCCTACAGCTCACCGTGCATGTCAGAGCAAATGAGAATCATGAGGTCAAAGGAACTGCCTGAAGAGCTCAGAGACTGAATTGTGGCAAGGCACAGATCTGGCCAAGGTTACAAAACAATTTCTGCTGCACTTAAGGTTCCTAAGAGCACAGTGGCCTCCATAATCCTTAAATGGAAGACGTTTGGGACGACCAGAACCCTTCCTAGAGCTGGCCGTCTGGCCAAACTGAGCTATCGGGGGAGAAGAGCCTTGGTGAGAGAGGTACAGAAGAACCCAAAGATGACTGTGGCTGAGCTCCAGAGATGCAGTCGGGAGATGGGAGAAAGTTGTAGAAAGTCAACCATCACTGCAGCCCTCCACCAGTCAGGGCTTTATGGCAGAGGGTCCCGACGGAAGCCTGTCCTCAGTGCAAGACACATGAAAGCCTGCATGGAGTTTGCTAAAAAACACCTGAAGGACTCCAAGCTGGTGAGAAATAAGATTCTCTGGTCTGATGAGACCAAGATAGAACTTTTTGGCCTTAATTCTAAGCGGTATGTGTGGAGAAAACCAGGCACTGCTCATCACCTGTCCAATACAGTCCCAACAGTGAAGCATGGTGGTGGCAGCATCATGCTATGGGAGTGTTTCACAACAACTCCGTGACTGTTCTTGAATGGCCCCGCCAGAGCCCTGACTTAAACCCAATTTAGCATCTCTGGAGAGACCTGAAAATGGCTGTCCACCCACGTTTACCATCCAACCTGACAGAACTGGCGAGGATCTGCAAGGAGGAATGGCAGAGGATCCCCAAATGCAGGTGTGAAAAACTTGTTGCATCATTCCCAAAAAGACTCATGGCTGTATTAGCTCAAAAGGGTGCTTCTACTAAATACTGAGCAAAGGGTCTGAATACTTATGACCATGTGATATTTCAGTTTTTCTTTTTTAATAAATCTGCAAAAATGTCAAACATTCTGTGTTTTTCTGTCAATATGGGGTGCTGTGTGTACATTAATGAGGAAACAACTGAACTTAAATGATTTTAGCATATGGCTGCAATATAACAAAGAGTGAAAAATTTAAGGGGGTCTGAATACTTTCCGTACCCACTGTAGTTTGGGCAGTGCAGGCAGTTTTGAAGTGCATACAGTGAAATCATTTGGAGTAGAGCAGCCATTTATCCTTAGGATAAATCCTGAGCTCCATTCAGCTGTTGGTACATTTTGACAAAAAGACCAACTCCTCTGGTTCATTAAATTATTTTTATGTTGTCCCAAGAAGATTATGACAAGGATCCATTTTGATTCTTAAATCTAATCACATCACACTGTGTGCATTAGTAGCATTACTGCTCACATGGAAGTGTATTCATGTGTTCATCCTCACTAATCACCTAAAGGAATGGTTTGAGATTTGTGTAAATACATTTTGAGATGTTTATGCCAAGAGTACCGTCCATTCAAAATGACAGTGGAGCAAGCAGCCGGTTGTCTTAGCTTAGTATAAAAACTAGAAACAGGGAAACATGTTGGATATTTCCAAAGATGAGGAAATCCACCTGCCAGCAACTCTGAAGCTCACCAATTACCATGTTATATCCCATCTGTTTAATCCAACAAAAACCAAGTGTATAAACAACATTTTGTGGTTTTACAAGACGTTTGTATGCTGAACAGTCTCTTGCCTGATTGGCTAACTGGCTGTAGTTTCAGATTTACAATCTAACTTGAACCGGAATTTCAATGTTTCCCAAAACAGAAAATCAAAAAGAAAGAGACTGTCTGGATCAGGCTAACACTACAGCTGCTGGTCACCAAAACTACAGAAACTGGTTTGTCACATTTGTATACTAAGATGCTGCCTTTTGGAAAAACATGCTCCAGTGTGTATAACTGAATGTACTACCTGGGTGGGGTTGTATACTGGGAAATCCTCCACTGGAGGGATGAGACCCTGGGCGATAAGCTGGCCATAAGAGGGGGGAGCCTCTCTCTGAACAAACTCTGCCTCCATGCGAGTCATCTGAGTCTCAAATGCTCTGCCAGGGGGAAAGAAGGAGAAAAACAAGAAGAGCGAGTAGATAGCACACGGGAGGCCAGAGCATGAAAAGAAAGAAGAAGTGAAGTGTTGGGAGGTGTATGAAAAAAATGCTTTGAGTCATTTAAACACTGAGGAGTTTGTGGCATCTACGCCATCAACAGCAATATGATAGAGTAACACTGAGTGACTGTGTATATTTGGGCTTCACTTGACCGAGGACATGAAACATTTGAAGTGTGTTGCATATGTTTGAGAAAAACAAATAAACAACAAGCAGAATACATGCTGAAACAGATCATCATACTCTGTCCCCACCTGTACTCTCTGCTTCTGAGCGAGTGGAGTTTGAGGGCACAGCTGAGAGCAATGACCAGCAGCAGACTGCAGACCAGGCTGCCGATTAGAGCGGCAGTAATCACTTTCCTGGGCACCGCCACCAGGCAGTCCTTTTCATCGCTCCCGTCTAAGCAGTCCTCTTGGCCGTCACACCGCCAGGTCTCAAAGATACACAGGTTAGTGCCACAGTGAAAGTTTCCCGGTTGGCAGTCATAGCAGTTCTTCTCATCTGACCCATCTGGGCACCTCTTCTGGTTGTTACATCGTTCAGAGAGCGGGTAGCACACTCCAGTAGCACCCTCGCAGGGAAACTCCCCATCTGGGCACGTTGGGCAGGCTTCTTCATCGCGGCCGGAGGGGCAGTGCCAGTAGCCGTCGCAGCGTTGATGTTCAGAATAGCAGCCCTGATCACTGCCACAGGGACGCTCGCCAGGAAAACAGTAGCCTTTGACCTTGGAGGGTAGAGGAAAAATATGTCACTGTCTAGACACTGAAAGGACGACTTGTACTCCGCTTGACTGATGGTGTTCTCTGCACCAACAGCATAGTCGCTGTCTATCAACTAGACTATTGAGGAAAATGTTGATTCCACACACTTGCACAAATAGACCCCAGGTAGTGCTCAAGCACCTGCCCTTTTACCCTCTGGCTGTCACGATTTGGGCCTTCGCTTCCTGTTTTTGTGTTGCTTTTTCCCTGTCTCTCACTACCGCTCTGATCAGCTCCACCCGCAGTTTGTTATCTCCCAGTTTGGTTCACTACATACACGCCATGCCCTTCTTTCCATTTGCTCCTTGCTGGTTCATTGCAGACGATCACATGCTTGTTTTCGCTACCTGTCGTTATCCTGGCTCTACTCCTACCTGCTCTCCTTTTCTCCTGTGCTGCTGACCTGACCTCCCATCTAGGTGCTCCTCTGCCAAGTAAGCTACTCACCTGCACATTACCTGCTTATCGTGCGCTCTGGTGCGAGTGAGACTTCCGCATCGATCTCTCTTTCTGAGTAAGCAAATCACCTGCATTCTGCCTGCTTGTTCTGATCTCTGGTGGGAGTGAGCTTCCCTGAACGTCCTCCCCTGCTGCATCCCGACTCATCAGCATGCCATCTGCTTCTCCTGTACTTGCTTTTCCTGATCTCCACTGAGGTGCAACATCTTCGACCTGCTCCCCTGTTGACTCCACGCTGCCAGCTTACCTTTGTCCCCAGTGTCACGCTGCCTGTCTGTCCCATCCAGAACCTGCTTTGTTTCTGTTCTCCTTTCTCCTCCACTCGGTCTGTCTGTCACTTTTGGCTGTTCCCATTAGGGGTCGCCACAGCGAATCATCGCACTGACAACTCGCATGTTTAAGTTTGGCATGTGTTTTACACCGAATGCCCCTCCTGACGCAACTCTGAATCGAACCAGGGCCACAGTGGGGAGAGCTCTGAATCCTAGCCACTAGTCCATCAGGGACCCTTTCTCCTCCACCCGGTACCCATTCCTTATATGTTCATTAAGATCTCTTTTGTTCCACTCCCATGTCTGTGTCTGCAAATTGGGTCCACCTGTACCTACCCGTCCTAACATGATAAGTGTCACAGGGACAGTATTTTTCCCCTATTTTTAATTTTGTACTTCAGTTTTTAAAGAATTTTCATTATTGCCAGGCTTACAATTTATATGCTATTGCAAAGATGTGCTACTTTTTTAAAAATACATCATTGTTGGTGAGAGGGGTGCCCATGCACAGCCCTGGTTGATTCCTTAAGACAGATGGGGAAAAACAACTGTACTGACAGCTGGATAAAGATGTGGGAGTAGCTAAAAGAATGATAACTTTGAAAGGTTGAATGAAAGACTGAAATTTTTCAGAAAAACAAGAAGCATTGTTCCCAGATTACAATACCTGGTATGTGGCATTGAAACCATGTCCAGGGCTGTGAGGCTGAGCAGTGTACAACACACTCATCTGTCCCCGGCTTGACTCCAGCAGGGCCGGACGCCTGTTGTTATGATATGACAACACCTGTAAGAGATGCTCTGCCTGCTGCAGCAGGCCGTCGTAAACATGCAGCGAGTCTCTGGGCCCAAGCTGCAGGTCCAGCTGCAGCACAATGGGTTTGGAGTCCTGGGTGTCCATCAACCAGGAACACCTGAGCTCAGCCAAAGCGCTCCTGTTAGCCCGGAAGAAATCTGGGGAAGCAAAGGAGCCGTAGAAATTCCCCAGACGTTTTCCACAGGTGGTGTCAGGGCAACCTAGCTCGTCGGTACCATCAGGGCAGTCTCTGGCTCCATTGCAGCGCAGAGCAGCAGGCAGACAACGGGTGGACTGGGCCTCAGTGCATGGCAGGGAGCCAAAGGGGCAGAGGCTAGGCTGAGCCTCAGTGGGAGGGAGGGAGCAGCTGTGTTCATCGGTGGCATCACCGCATTCATCCTGACCATTGCACTTCCAGGAGCGAGGAAGACACTTTCCATTCCCACACAGGAACTCATCTGACTGACAGCTGCTCTGGCCCAGGTGACCTACAGAGAAGAATGCCACATGCTAATACAAACAAATGTGTTTTTAGTTCACTGAGTTTGTTTTTGTTTTTTTTTCCAGCACAATCTAGCAGCTCAATCCCTCATGTTAATTTTAATACTCTCTCCCTGAAATACTATAAATCCAGGGTCCAAGACCTCATTTGTGATTTGTTGGCCCAAAACAAAAGCCAATATACAATCCTGAAACTATGCAGACCTGTGCCAGCATAAAGTGACTTCATATTGTAAAGGAAAGAACATTAAAACACTGTGCATCCTTAGTAGCCTGTGGCCTGGAGCACTGACTCTGGGATAGACTGAACCTGTTAATACACCCCATGCTCCAAGCTGCAGTGTCGAACTCTGTCATAGCAGGGCAAAAGCAACACACCTACAGTATATTGCTACATTTTGACAAGAGAGTTGAGCAAGTAGCCAAGTAGAGCCAAACCTTGAGAATGTCCAGAAACAACATAACACACAGCATTTCTATCCAACTCAATAAGAATAAAAATATTGCTATAACAAGACAAGAGGGACTGATGAGGTTTTATAACTTAGTGATAAATTACTGCATGCAAACATGGTAATATTTGCTACATAATTATGTTTGAAATGATTTATACTTTACACATAAAAGACTGGACAAAATATCCAGTTTACCTCTGATGTAGGAGAGACGGAAACCCTGGGCTTGCCCAGAGCTATTGGCCTGAGAGTGGAAATAGAGCCAAACACGCCCCCTGGTGGAGATGAAAGGTGGAGGCCGCATGGAGCCACACAGCCTGGATTCCCCGTTCCATGAAGGAGTCAACAGGAGCCAGTCCTCCAAACAGCTGCCTGACTCAGCCAAGTCAAAGTTACGGAAACTAGAGCAAAGCATTGATCATTTCAGGTGCTTTCTCAACAATAAAAGTGTATGTAGAGAGAGTGTGTGTACATGTTTGGGGGGGTGGAGGAGTCCTACCTTATGGTAATGACCTCTCCCTGACCTCCTTGGATATGCCAGCTGCAGTTGACTCCAGCTGGGTAGTTTAAAGGCCAGGAGGGACTGTAGATCACACCCCTCCGCTCTGTATGGACCTCCATCCGCTCAGTGCAGCCTGCTGGACAACAAAGGGATAAGGGGGCGAGCATATGCATTGGTGAGGTTGGTCTCCATGGTTCTGTGGTCGATATTTGTGTCACCAACATAAACCCTCACCTGAAGGATATACAACATTTATACTGTTAGGTTATTTCTTAGTTAGATAGATATTCAGAGATTTGGTGTCTAGAAATGTTTAGTGGAGACAG